CGCACACATGACAAAAAATGAACATCCGCGTGGAGAGGAAGATAGCGTGCTTTATCGTGGCGTACGCCGGACGAGTGCGGCTCGACAGTCGCTTCTCGTGCCCCCGTCCGGCGTGGTCTCTCCGACGATGTTTCGCGGCTAAAGTTGTCGTCCGTTGTTTGAAATCGCGCCGATTAAACGCGGAGGCTTACAACGGCTATGATTAATTGAGTGACCGAACGAGACGCGAGGGAGTGAATAAAAAAGTGTTTTCAACCAAATAAATTAATTGTGAGTGGAGAAAAGAGATAAAGAACGCCGCGTCGCGTCTCGACGAGAGAGGATAATCTCGGCGGAAAAGAGAAAAACATCGCGTCGAATTATATTGTCGACGCGCGGATAAATTTCGATTATCGTCGACGGATAACGATTTTCAAAAATCCTTTGAACTTGTCTCGCCCTGTCGATCGTTTATCTTCCAGATGGTGCGCTATTTAGTATTTGAGTGTCGTCCGCGCACAAAAGTGCAACTTGTTTGAAAGACGAGATTGTAAAAACGACAATGCTAACGTCACTGCGATGACGCACGCTCGAGATGGATAATAATCGCAAAAGTGTTTAACGCGACATTTTCGACAGATTTTTGTTTAAACAAATATTGTGCAAATTCCTCTTTTTCTGTTGAGAAAAAATGTTTCAAATCTTGTTGTTATCTTAATCACGTTGATCATAAAAATTGTATATTTCCGCAATTTCTTCGAATTGTCTTTCAAGCAAAAATTAAATTATTCGTCCGCGTGTGTAAACTTTTTTCGATCGATGTTATATTTTCGTAATATCCTTGTTTTTCAATCTTCTTGACGTTTTCACGGATCTTACTTGCGTGCCCGGTTTTTAGGGCCGCGCGCGTGACGCCAATGGTTGTCGGGAACGCAGGAAGAACCGAAAATAAAGTAGACACACGCGTACCGGCAACTCTGCGCCGTATGAACACGAGGCCGGCTTGGTCTCGCGGAGGTCCCAGAGAGAAATTTTTAGCTCGATGCGCTCTCGTGTATGTGTCGGAAAGCCGTCGTAATGCAGACTTCTCGTAGTACACAATTCAGAGACGACAGTTTACGCGCTCGAAAATCGTCAACGCGCTCTTTCCCGAGCTCGATTTACACATTCGACCTTTAGCACAAGTTTTTCAACGCAAAATACGCGGTCAAATTACGGTCTTAAATTCTTGCAAACGTTTGCACGCGCTTCGCAGATATATATATATATGTATATATATATATATATATAAACGTTGCGCATAACCTTTGCGATATTGCTGCCTAATGAAAAAAGAATTAAAAAATTGAAATTATTTCGAATTAAAAAAATGTATAATTTATTGTGTCAAATTATTTTCTATTTAAGAATAATTGAAACGTTTTTTTTATTATTTGCACTCGCGATATGGAAATTCAAGATATCGTAGAAATAAATTTATCACGTTTTAAATATTGCACGCGTATACACATTGTAAATTATATAATAATAATTTCTATACGTCCCTGAGAGGATGTGTGATCACGTGATTAAGTTAGTCTGGTCTTTGGCTCTCTTGAGGAATCGTGAACGATTCGGTTCTCTTTCCGCGAGGTGTACATATATATGTATGTGTGTGTACACATACGCGTGTCAAATCTCGTTCTAAGCAAGGTAGTTAAACGTTTAACAAGTTTGTGGAAGCTAACTCCACCGTCGATGCGATTCTCGAGATTGCGAAGTTTGCAAGGTCCGCAGACCGAATAGAATCGCCCGATCGCGATCAAAACCGGAGCATTTAAGTTAGTTACGAGTGCACCGTCACGCGCGTCTCGCCTCCCATAAATTCCGTTCTCGTGTTTCACGCGAGATGATTGATATTTGCGGCACGTTCACGAGTTTTTGCGCGAATCGAAGTCCGCGAATTGTCCGCAATCGGTGAAACAACAACCGATCGTCGCGGTGTCGAACAACCAACGTCGCGTTGTTGTTGTAGAAACGAGTCACAGATTGAGATATATGTATATAATCCGTCGTCGTAAAATCTGATAAATCAATCGCGGTTGTTGATCAATTCGCAGTTGTCGACGAGAAACGCGATGATGACGCTCGTTGATGAGCTTCTCGCGCAGTGATAACAGCAATATGAGGTAACAAGAGACTGACGTACGATTAGATATTCCGTAATTGTCGATATACTCAACAATTAGCCGAGCGTGTGTGTTTGCGAGATGTTGAAACACACAAGCAGAATCGGACGACCTCGAGTTGTTGTGGTGAGAAGACGAAAAGGACGCTCGGTGTCTAGGAGCTGGCCTAGTACACCTAGAACTTTATCGATCGTATCGTCCGAGGTAAAGAAGTGTTTTAATGTACATACATACACACACACACACACACACACTTGATACTACAAAAATAGCTTTTGATTTTCTGATAATTATAATTGCTAGATTCTATCGTCACTTGTCGATAGATAAATTTCGTTTGTTTCCGCATTAACTTTCAATGACCAATTCTCGAGATATAACGCCGGGTGTGTTTCTTCGAACTGATAACCTTGACGAGGCGACGATAGACGAGCGATATACGATCGCGAACGAGGTCATTAATGCTCGGCGAGTCGACGAAGAGGTGAACCGCGCGTTTATACATTATACACGTCTCTCCTCCGTTTTATCTCGTCCTGTCTCGCGTGTGTGTTACGTACGTACACGTGGACGTCGTTTCTCGCCCACGCACGCGGGTCGAAAATCCCACGCAGCGAAAGAGAGAGAGAAAGAGAGATCGAACGCGCTGCGGGAGAACGACGAACTCCGCATGAATGAGAGCGTATAATTGGGAGAATATTATTGTGACTGTAATTAATCGCGCGCTTGAAAGCGAATAACGTTGAGAGAGAGAGAGAGAGAGAGAGCGCGAGCGCGCAATATTCGCGCGTATCAAAATATTATTTCGTTCCGCTTTCGTTCGGATAAATTGACGACAATGTCGCGCTTATTGCGCGCTCGATGAATTATCGCGCGCCGAAATAAACTTTTCGACAACCAAATAAAAACAACACGCGCGTCGAAATAATAATAATAATAATAACAATAACAACGCGCGTATGTAACACGCGACATACATGCATAATTGAAATCGTAATGTAAATGTATTTCCGAATAATTCGCGCCGCTGCGATTCGCATTTTATTGTTTACAAAAACCCCAATTGTGTTACGTCAGGAGAAATACGTACACACACTCGGCGTGTACGTTGCGTCACGATTGCATTTTTTTTTCGGTCGATGATTTTGAAATGTCACGCCTACCCCTCCTGTCGTTCGGACACAAAGTAGCGAAATGTCAGTTAAAAAATTTTACTAATGCTACGAACATATATGTATATTGATTTATAATCGGGAAGAGAGTTCTGGGATTTCGCGCGATTGTTATTCGAAATTCTTTCCGAAATGATCCGCAGAAAGAAACGTATGTTCGAGAATTTACTTTTGCAAAGTAACGCTTTGTTCCTTGTCGCATGCGCGCGTGTACGAGCGAACAATAACGTCAAAGTTCTCTTTGTGCGACACAAGCAACGTACAGGCGATCGCGCAAACTGCAACCGAATCGGGAATGTCGCGTCGCTCGATCAAACGCCACTGGAAACTGAACTTTCATCCCGAAATTGGCTAAACATTCAGTTCTAACAATCGAGTCACGAGGGAGCGGTTCCGTGAATGGCACGTATAACCGGCGTATCTACCGGAAGTCCGGCCTACGAGTTCCGGCCCGAAGCGCATTTGTCTCATTGTCTCTCTTTCATCCTTTTATTTTTTTTTTCTCTTCTTTTTTTCCATCGCTGAATAGCGGCGAATATGTAACTGCATGTTAGTCGAGAAAAAGAGTCGAACCAGCGATGACGTAGCCAATATTGGCCCTGTTATTATAATAAAAAATTTATGCCACACAAATCTATATAAATTTTTATTAAAAAAATAACCAGTCGTAAACGTTCACTTAAATCGATATTACAAACCCGAGAAAACGATGTTTCAAAATAATATTATTTGATCAAATTGATGTCTTGAATATTATTGTATTTAAATTGTTATTTAAATACAACGATAATATTATTACTGAAATATTCGACGACTACGACCACAACTTTTTAACAAAAAGAAGAAAACTCTGCGAGAAGAGAGAAAAGTTCGCGCTATATAAATTATCCGTCATCTAGTCTAATGTTATCTTATAAATTCTCTCCATTTAATGTGTTTTTATCATATATTTTGGATTATCAGAACATTAAAATCAAATCATTGATTTCTCTTGATTAGCGCGCACTTGAATTTTATCTTCGTTTTCGGACGTGCGCCAAGAGTGACGTCACACATGTTGTTTAATAACGATCGTAACGGATTTGAATCATGCGAAACGGACGAAAGTAATGCAGCTGCAAGCACACGCGCATCCGCAGGTGATTAAATTATTATCAACAAAACGATTTTTGAACGAAACCGCGTCGTGGAGCGAAACTTCACTATTTGCGTATAAATTATATCGCGCGCGCATCCAGAGCTGCTCGAGAATGAAAAGTTGGTTTAAATAAAAAAAAAAAAAAAAAAAATAAAAAAAAAAAAAAAAAAAAACACCAATGGACAATCTCTGGGAATAACCTGTGTTCGGTCGTGTGAAATAGCGCGAAGCGGATTATCAACGTCGAAGTCGCGCCCGCGCAAAGTTGACATCACCCTTCCTCCAATGATTAGCGACGACGATGTTCTGTTTTCTTTTTATTATTATTATTATTATTATTATTATTATTATTATTATTATTATTATTATTATTATTATTATTATTATTATTATTATTATTACAAACAGAGGCGCGCGTAATAATTACGTGTTTTCCTTTCGAGCAGGATTAATAAAACGCGCTCTGTCTTGTACACAATTTATTTATTATAGTTCACTTGGTGTTCAAAAGCCTCGTTATAAACCGACGTTGGTCTTTTGCAGATCGACTACCCGGAAGTTCACGGTGGAGGAAGGATGCATCGACCACCGCACCCCCATCCCATAACTGACCACCGTCAGGTCAACCTGGTCTTCGATGACACGGTAAGGAGACGATAATTGTTAAACGGTATATATATTTCATTCGGATTTTATTGCGCGTGTATGTATGCGCGCGACAATCGAGACAATATATCTTCGAAGGGTCGATATTTCTCTTCGCTTTAACAAAAGGTTTTTGCTTCGGAAATGTTTATCTCGTACGTGACATATACTCTTGCTCCGATGACCGATACAATTACCCTCTCATCAAAATCGATGCTGCCGGTGCCAACTGGCGCGTAAACGTTCCGATATCGCCAATCCACCCACACACACGCACGCCCAGTTATAGCGCTCGCGAATTACTCCGATAATCCGAGTTTGATCGGTGGGAGCGCGCGCGGAACACGCGATCGCGCGGAGTCTTTCGGCGCGGGCAGAAGCTGAATGGACGAAGCAATTTGGGAAGTAGTGGCGTAAGCACGGAACAAAAAGGAAAAGTGAAAGAGAGAGAGAGAGAAAGAGAGAGGGGGGCGGACGACATAACGGGCCGTATAAATCATCATCCGCCGGGTCGGGCAGTGGCCTTTGAGCGGTTACTAGCTGAATGCTTTCAGCGGACCAGCGGCAACGCGATGATCTCTCTCCTGCGTCTATCTACATTTCCTTGTCTCTTTTTTTTCTTTCCTCGTCTTTCTCCTCTCTTGTTTCGTTCTCTCTCTCTCTCTCTTTCGCTCTCTCTCTCTCTCTCTCTCTTTCTCTCTTGCCCTTTCACGACTCGATCGACCGTCCGTCGACTCCTTAAGCGCATCTCACACGAGAGAGAAGAGATCGTCCGACAGTGACTTTCTGTCCGAGGAAAAGAGAGGAGAAAGAGCCTCTCTTTAGATCAATTCAGGTGTCGTTATCATCGTCAATTTACGTCATCGTTTGCTTATTGTTCCGTATGGCGATTAACTAATCGCCGGGAGACTGATGAATATTAATCGGGAGCACCGACGCGACCAGCGTGTTCTTTCTCAGCCGGCGTGTTCTTTCTCGAGCGCGTTTTGCAACGTTCCCCGTGACGTTGCACAGCCTGAATTGACATTCGCGTGGGTATTACAACAAATCGAAGTGGGCTGTGTTTTACGTGTCGCGAACGGTTATTTTTAGGTTTAAATATTTTTATTTGTTGTTTGTTTTTCTCCCTACGTGAAGAGGAAGACAAAGAGAGAGAGAGAGAGAGAGAGAGAGGGAGAGAGAGAAAAAGAGCGTATCTACATCTCGAGCAATTATTGTATATTAAATTTTCAGTACCGTTTTATTTTTTTTTTTTACTCGGTTTGTTTTTTGTTTTTTTTTTAATTTTTTTCAAATGTAGAGATATTGTAATTTTTCAATTTTAAAACTGAAATATATTGTGTTCTCTGTTTTAATTGTGAGAGCATAAATAATTCTATTAAATTACAAAAGCGTAGAAATTAACGAATTAAAATTGTACGCTGTCTCGGATTATAACGTCGTGTAATATTATTTTGAGAAATTCACACACACACACACACACACACAAAAGCGTGTGACAGTGTTTTTAAACATTCCTCATAATTCCCTCACATGCAAAATAAATTTATAATTTTCTCTCTATAATCGTTTTTCAAATCCCATCAAGCGGTCTCTCACGAATCAGAAATTGAACCGGTTGCTTAAATTCTCGTTCCCAGCAGAGTATGCAAATTGCTCTATACCCGACTCTTTTCTTTTTCTCAGCTATTTGCTTGATTGTAAGCGCTAATCATCACACCGATCATTATCGCGTAATATTTTACTTTGTTCCTAATTTTCGTTTGCGCGGTAATTATCATTCGTTACTTTGTAGTATCTCGAGAAGCAAATTCAAATAATCTATATAATTTTTTTACGCACACGCATGTAGCTTATATTTTTTTCGTTCCGATAAACTTTAAGCGATGAAAAAACTTACCGATGAAATGCGCTGAAACAAGAAGAAGAATTCCCGTTGAAATTCCCTCCGAAAAAAATGCGACGTTGCGCGCGCGGAAGCTACAGGTGGCTCGGTGTTGCCCCCCCATCGACCGACACGATGCGCCCCCCGTTGACACGGACCTGAGGAGCCGCTCTCGGCGCGGCGGGTCACATGACCACCCTACGCTCTCTCCTCAAAGAGAATGCCAAGCGACGATACGACGAGGGTGTCGGGCGGGACGAGAGGCACTCCCGTGTGTCCGCTAAGTTGACGGTCGACCGCGACGACGGCGACAACGGAAGGGCAGACATCGGGGACGAACACGTTTCGGGACGCGTCACGAGAAGTTTCGTGCTGCCTGAGCAACAAAGTGCGCGTACAAAGAGAAGAAGCTCGCGACGCGTTGCGGCACGTCGCCGTTCTCTCGAAGCGCGTAGTGAGAAAAAATTTATTTTACACGGCCGATCAGGGAAGACCAAGAAGCGCGCGTGGAAAATGCGGACGCTCGTGTTCGCGAGCGATTCGTCGTGATTGTCACCACGTCGAGAAGCTACGCGGATCGACGGGACGATAGCAACAGAACATCCAAGATCGCGCGAGTCCAACGTCGACACGATGGACACGTTCGGCGTGTACCAAGTGAGTAGCACAACTCTCGAAGACACAGCTCAAAATGGCCCTGGTTGTCTCTGCCGGAAATTCTCGTCCTCTCGACGGAAAACGTTCCCGGAGAACACGGGGGTGTACACCACGGCCGGCCGTCGTGATGACATGACAACGAGCATCGTAGGTGTTTTTGTTTGGGTGACGGGCGGGCGTGCGTGTTTGTGTGCGTGCGTGCCCAAAGAAGCGTATGTAACTCCGCGCGCGCTCGACGTTGCGATTCTCTCTTTCTCTCTCTCTTTCGCTCTCTCTCTCTCTCGCTCTCTCTCTCTCTCTCTTTCTGCGTGCATGTGCGTGATGTCATGTCGCTGCGACCTAACCTAACTTTAACCGCCGATGGGAGCCTGTGTCCCAATCACGCCCATTCCTGGTATTTTCTCTTCTACGCGCTACGGACGAGCGGCGTCGTCGATGATTTGTTTTTACTTCTCGCTTCGGGGCGATCGTTCTAAACGTCGATATGCGGAAACCGCATCATAAATCGTCTCTGTAGATCTTCCTGTTTATTCGTGGATATTGTTTTTTTTTTTTTTTTGTATAAACTCTTGTTGTTGATTCTTGGAAAAGAGCTACGTCAGATGAGGATGTTGGTTTGTTGTTACATTTTGTATTTTTATAGCTTGTAACATATGTTTATATATTGGAGCAAACATGTGTATAGTATAAATAGTAGATAGTAGATATTTTGGATTAGTACAACGTTTTAAGTCTTTTCTTTGTATTTCTTTTTTTTATCACTAATTCTATTTTTATTAAATATATTTTTTGAATATTCTGTGTAATCTTAATTTTTTCGATTCATGACACACACACAGATTTGCGAATAATATACTTTGTCTTAAAATTGTATTGATTTGATTTTATTGATATTTTTTTAGCTATAACAGCAAATACATTTAATATAAATTTAATATTGACAAAGAAAATGGGATTTAACATTCCCAAAAATTATAGAAAATGTTAGAAGAATGTTTTTATACTCTATACATGTTTGAGGATATATGTACGTGTATGTAATACATGGAAATATCAAGTAAATAATAAAAATGTTTGTTTTTGTAGTTCTCTCAAGGTCTGACGGGCAGACCGGAGCTGTATCAGAAATCGAACAGGAGCAGCCATTCGAGTGACACAAGTTCAGCATACAGTGGATCTGACACCATGACATCTGTACAAAGTTCATTAGACGCGGATCCTGATGAGGTGGATCTCTCAGGACTTGTAGAGTCTATTGTTGATAGTGATGAGGAAGAAGATCTGGCAGAGAGCATGGATGTAAGCGTCACAGTTTGTCTCGCACGTTTGCTGATTACATATACAGTCAAACCTCTATAACTCGAAAACTTCTATAAGACGAAAATTTTGTTCATTTCCTTCCGCTCCGCGGAAAGGAAAAAGACACTTCGATAAGTCGAAACTTCTACAACTCAAAGATTTTAGCTCTTCTCTTGAAATTCGAGATTCGATTGTATTATTACATATGTACGTTTTAACTTTGATGATTTTTATATATTTCAGAGTTTAACAGTTCGCGATCCCGTACGAGAATGTTTGGAAAAAGATCCAATTGACAGAACAGAAGACGACATAGAGACTCTTCTGGAGTTCACCCAACAGTTGAAAGCATTTACGAATATGACAATGGCTGTCAGAAGAGCACTGTGCGCTGTAATGGTGTTCGCGGTGGTTGATCGTGCCGGGATGGTGGTCTTAAATGACGGCGAGGAGCTAGACAGTTGGAGTGTCTTGATTAACGGTGCTGTCGAGATTGAGCACAACAATGGCGAAATTGAACAACTCGGCCTTGGAGACAGCTTTGGTATCTTGCCCACTATGGAGAGATTGTTACATCGCGGAGTTATGAGAACAAAGTTAGTAATTTGTATTTTTGCCTTTTGCCATGTATCTCAACCGTAAAAAGACCGTAAATATTATAATTTATATTTTTTTGTAGATGCGACGATTGTCAGTTCGTTTGTGTCACGCAAGCCGATTACTTTCGAATTCAGCATCAAGGCGAAGAGAATACCAGGAGACACGAGGAGAACGGAAGGGTGATTCTGGTGACTGAATTACGTGGTGCTTTGGACGGTGCCGCGCGAAGAGGTCACGTGGTGATTCGGGGAACGCCGGAACGTTTGATGTTACAGCTTATAGAAGAAAACAGTATTACAGATCCTACTTACGTTGAAGATTTCTTATTGACTCATCGAACGTTCATTGACAGTCCCTTGTTAGTCGCGAGTCAATTGTTGGAGTGGTTTGATCAATCGCAGGTGCGGGATCGCGTTGCTCGCGTCGTACTGCTATGGGTAAACAATCATTTCACCGACTTCGAGACTGATCCGGCAATGATGGAGTTTTTAGAAGCATTCGAAGCCGGACTAGAGAAAGAAAAAATGCTCGGACAACAAAGGTAAAATCGAGTTGTTCATTGTAATGATCTAACACGTTTGTGTTAAAAATAATAATTACTGTATATGTGCGCAAATAAAAATTAGAAGACTAAGAACGGAACGAAATTGGATGTGTCGATACATGTAAAATTGCAATTTTAGGTTATTAAATATTGCGTGTGCGGCAAAAGCGAGAACGCGAAACGTAACACTAGCCAGGCCAAACAGGGACGAAGTCCTAAATTTTAGTATCTTAGGAGGATTTGAAAGAGGTTTTGGTATATTTATATCAAAAGTTGACAAGAGATCTAAGGCTGAGGATGTTGGTTTGAAGAGGGGCGATCAAATTTTGGAAGTAAACGGTCAAAGTTTCGAGCACGTAAACCACGCGAAGGCTCTCGATATTTTGAGAGCGTCTACGCATCTAAGTATAACCGTTAAATCCAACTTGCTTGGTAAGTCAAATTCCTAGATTTTTATAATCGGAAGCAGTATATAAAAAAAAAATGTTTGAATTTTATTATAATCAATTATCTCATTCGCGCAGCTTTCAAAGAAATGCTTCAAATGCCTGAGAATTCCCCGAGGCCCCGAGGCAGAGCAAATAAGCCGGAACTTCCTAGACTTCAGTCGGATCCGCGTGTTAGGTTATCGACACACGTGGATCCAATGACGCCTGTGAATCCGTTAAATCCCATGATCGGTGGAGTACCGCTGTTAATTCCGGACAACAACGTGTCGCCGTGTAAAGACGCCAAAAAAGAGCACAAGGGATTCATGACACTGGGACCCAAGCGACGATTGCAAAAAGCTCTTATGAAGATGAACATATTGCCAAAGAACACGATCAAGTAAGCGCATGTTGCGAGATAATTAAATCTATGTGTGTGAATCTCTCTCTCTCTTCGATAACACGAGATATTTTTCGAATGTCAACAGCGACGGTGTACACGTGGACGATCCTCTTGCGCCACCGCACACACCACCGGGAACAGGACTTACGCAAACGACTAATCTGTATCACTCGAAGAGCAATCCGGACCTTACGTCGCTTTATTGCTACGACGACTTGAGAGCAAACGATTATCCTGAACACGTACTCAAAGTATATAAAGCCGATCAAACCTGCAAGTATCTTCTTATTCACAAAGAAACGACGGCGCATGAGGTGCGAAGATTTGCGTTATGTGTTGCAATTAAAAAAAAAAAAAAAAAACAACGTTTGTTTGTTAATTGTATATTAATTTATTATCTAGGTGGTAATGCTCGCACTGCAAGAATTTGGTATAACGGAAAGCAGTTCTAACTTCTCGTTGGCGGAAGTGAGCGTCGGGGAGGGCGGCATGATTAAGCAACGTAGATTGCCGGACCAGTTGCAGAATCTCGCGGAACGCATTGGGTTAAGTTCGCGCTACTACTTAAAGACCAACGGAATTTCCGAAACTTTAGTAGCCGACGATCAAGCTCCGGAACTTATTCGAGAGTCTCAAGTACACTTCTTGCAGTTAAATGCCGTGGAAGTGGCGATACAACTAACTTTACAAGACTTCAGTATATTCAGGTAACTTTCGAAATTTCTCAATATTTCGTTTAATCTCGCGATGAGTTTGATCTCGCGATTAACGTACTTAATTGCACGTTTTTGTTTGTTTGTTTGTTTTTTTTCGTACTAATGCGATTTTATTACAGACAAATTGAATCTACGGAATATGTGGATGATTTGTTCGAGTTGAAGAGCAGGTACGGTGTGCCCATGCTCAGTCAGTTTGAAGAACTAGTCAACAGAGAAATGTTTTGGGTTGTAACGGAAGTTTGTTCTGAACACAATCTCGTACGCAGAAGCAAAATTATTAAGCAGTTTATTAAGATAGCGCGTGAGTATATTGTCAAATTCACACATTTCTTCTCTTGCTTATTGCGCGTTAACGATCGTTCAATAAAAAAATAAAATTTTGTTTTTCCAAACAGGACAATGCAAAGAATGCAAGAACTTCAATTCTATGTTTGCGATCGTTTCCGGTTTGGGCCACGGGGCGGTGTCGAGATTAAGGGCTTCGTGGGAAAAACTGCCAACCAAATATCAAAGACTATTCAGTGACTTACAGGAATTAATGGATCCCAGTCGCAACATGAGTAAATACCGACAGTTGGTAGCGTCCGAGCAAACGCAACCGCCGATAGTGAGTCATTCTTCGGAAACAATATAATTCATTAACATTCGCGCTCTTTAACGTGTGTTGTAAAATTGAATTTTTTTCTCCTTAGATACCTTTTTATCCAGTTGTGAAGAAAGATCTGACCTTCATACATCTCGGCAATGACACAAGAGTTGAAGGTCTGGTAAACTTCGAGAAACTCCGAATGATCGCAAAGGAAGTGAGAACGCTGACAAACATGTGCTCCTCACCGTATGATTTATTAACCATGCTGGAGAGAGGCGGACAGCCACCGAGTTCCGCGATGGTTGCTCTGAATCAAATGACTACTGGTAATCAAGGTAAATTTCTCACGTTCTCTTATTGCTCTTTCTGCATCCAATTTTTTTAAGTGCGACTCGTACATTCGCGATGTTACTTACAAGGCGGCCAAACTGCAACGGTGAAACGACGAAAGAAATCCACGGCCGCTCCAAATCCGAAGAAAATGTTCGAGGAAGCGCAGATGGTGCGAAGAGTGAAAGCCTATCTGGCGAACATGAAGGTGATCACGGACGAAGATCGACTGCATCAACTTTCTGTCGATTGCGAACCGCACGCGGGAGCAGTTGCGGTCGCTGCCGCCGTGCCATTGGGTGGCAGTCGGGGAAGGAGGCATCCGTCGCCTACTTTGTCGACTACCAGCAGCGCCAGTAGCACCAGCGAAGGCAGAAAGAGTATACAAGGTCGGTAAATCTAAAAAACAAAAAAAAAAAAAAAAACCAAAAAAAACAAAAACAAACTTGGCCACAATTTGATCACAAGTTCGACCTGGAAACACATGCTTGAGCGAGTAGTACGCTGAAGCAAGTTTCATAACTTGCGTCGATCGTCGCGTTCTCAGGTACAAAATTTGGCGCAGCGTCGCCGCAAGCCGTGAGGAAGATGTTGGCTCTGTCGGATCCTCACAAGACGCGACCGTACCAGCCCAAACACTGTGCGCCGCCGCTACCTGTGCCGGGACTGGGTCTCCACTCGACTGGATTGGAGCCTAGTCCAGGTGCGCCTAGAAGAGTAGGATCCGGTAGCAGAGTACCGATGCACGAGCGATCGCACAGCGACACCCCCGCCAGTCTGCCACCTCCCGTTGATCTCAGCGCGGAGAGTAGTAGCGTGACTAGTCTGAGCAATCTCCAGCCGTTAAGGAAAACTCTAACAAGTGGTAAGTACGATTTTCTCCTTGCGAAATGGTTTGAGGCGAGATGCTGTCCGTTACAAATAGATACCTTCCAAGCTGATTAAGTTTGCAATATAATTTTTGACAGCTTTTCGTATATTTATATATATATATATAACTTTCTATATTATTACATTGAACAGATCGATAGATGGTTAACCAATTGAAACATATATTAGTAGACACGCATCTCGCGACGCACCTCGTCATGCACCTTCATTGCTCGTTAAGTACACTGGTCAGGTCTCGCAACGAGTTTATCATTATCATGCACGCTGCACAGCCGTTTTTTACGCAATTCATAAATGTTCCATGTTATGTTTTTTCTTTTTTCTTTTCTTTTTTTAGTTGATCCATATATACACGTACACTTATACACGAACACGCATCTTGTACGCCGATTACTGTAGCGCGAGCTTTTTCCTGATCAGATGTCACGAACACCTCGAGATAATCCTTTAGATAATCCTGTAAAAAAAAAAAAACACAAAACGCGACTTCGTCTCGGAGTCCGTCGTACCATGGGACATACGAAGTCGTGTGTGTTGAGATGTCGGTTCTCTTGGTTTGTTTTCACGCACTCGACTCGTAAGAAAAATCAGTCGACGAATTCTTTTTGACAATCATATCGCAAGTAAAAAAAAGATATACCTTGCGTGATGTCGCGATAATCAATGTGCGAACAAAAACGTTGGATTAAACATTAAATTAATTAATTGTATGATTATTAAATGTTACGTAAAGGATTTGTTATATTTATCGTTTTAACACGGCGTACAGTCGCGAACCATGAAACGGTATTCACTTCGATTGCGCGCTTCGTATAAGCGATAGAACATTTTTCGTGTAGACGAAGGAAAAAAGAGATAGGGAGAAACGTGTGCGAAAGACGTGTGTTAATTAATGCGCGGGGTGAAGCAATCACAGGCGTAGCCTGTTACTTTGCGTACTCTCGAGACCAGATCTAGAGTAGACGGACCATGAATGAGGCAAATGAACGTGGCGCGTTAGACGTGGGTAGCGTGTTTTTAGCGATCGCATCAGGACGTGTAATCCCTCCCGGCTGTGGAACGTGTGTAGTGATAGAAGTGTCTTGGGGACGTGTGCGTAGGTTCGGTGACGAGCAGTGACAGTGGTCATAGCACTCAGCTGGACAGCCACAGCGGGAGCAGCGTGGAAGCGGGCGGCAGCCCACCGCCACCGCAAAGGCGACACTCCGCTCTGCAAGGTACGTAATTCAGCAACACACGAAAACACACAGTGCGAAGCGAGAGAACGGATTAGTGACTCGGAGTGTGCTCGTGTGCTGTTCCTGTTGTGCCCGAACCGTAGACTTGTAGATTAGTAGAGAAAAAGAGAGACGGTAGTTTCTTTACGCCGCGAGGTCCGCCGCTGGACCGGCTCGAGACCCGAAAATCGAATCTCTCTTCGCGCGTTTCTCCGACAAAAACATTTTCAGCCGATGTTAAATTACTTGGCTATTTGTCCGCGCTGTCGTTTTATTTACTTTATCATTTGTTTGTTTGTTTGTTTTTTTTTTTTTTGGTATTATTTATCTGTCTTTTTTTATGTTACCAGGCAGTTACGTGTTATGAAAATTTATAATTTCTGTCACGATGTTTTCGTTGTTAATTCGTTGATGAATCACTCAAATGTTTTTTTGTTTATTTATTTATATTTCAAATTTGTTCGCTATTTCGATCGTTAAATTTTTATTATTCAGAGAGACGTATGTCCCATGGCCCACACTTGTTTTCAAACGCAACTCGAACATTAAGCTGCAAATAACTAGAATAAATAAATTGCCAGCGACTTGAACGTTTTATTATTAAACATCACGCGCTGTACGCTTTTGTATATATTCGCGTCGATATAATAATAATAATAATAATAATAGTAATAATAATAATAATAACAACAACAACAATAATAATAATAATAACATAACAGCTGTGCTTTCAACCGCTTTTTGAAAATCTGCCGCTTCTGTAAAATTCGCTTCGCAGCTTAATCGATCGGTCACTCGCTTGATCACACGCGAGACGTTACAATTCTCGCTCAATTGTGCGTCTCGAGTCGCAAAACACGTTTATATTTCGTCGCGTGTCGTCCGTGTCACGTAGATTCGAAAATTCACTCAAATTTTTCATCAGTAACGGCGCAAATCTATAAATTTTGTTAAACCAAAAAAAAAAAAAAAAAAAAATGTCGTATGTGGCCTCTGTATGGTGCAGGGTCTGTTGTAAGAGGTGGAGCACCTCCGTTCCCTCACGCGGTAGCAGTGTTACCTCCGCTTCCTGTCAATCAGAATCACAATCATCATCACCATCATCACCATCACCAACATTATCACGATCATCATCACCAACCCCCAACTCCTCAAGGTGAGTCTTTCCGCGACTGGTGTGTACGTTTTCATCTGCATTGCAAGTCATTGCGTAGATCTTTGCTTATCCTTGGAACGGAACGCATTAAAGTATTGATGCTAAAAACTGGTACGAGTCATGCATGCGAGGCGACGTATCGAGGTGTTGGCAAGTAATTACAAAAAAAAAAAAATAAATAAATAAATAAATAAATAACAAAAAAAACTTCTCACACAGTTTGCGCTTTCTTTGGACTTGCTGACGAAAATTTTGTTATTTCTTGAGGAAAAGCGATGTGTGTATGTTGAGTGACTTCTGGTGCGTGACGTTTACTGCCTTGCCTTGTGTCCAGCTATTTAACTGTCGAGCGAGTTTGTGATGTGCACGTTAGTGACAAACAAAACACACAGTACTGTCACATTGTCCGCTTCTAGCGTGGTCTAGAAGTGCATCTTTGATTCATTTCGCGCGATGGTGTTCCACAGTGGTGTATTAGCAAACACTAACCGAGAGAGCGCGTTCTTTTCAGAATACTAATCACACGAAACGGTATATCTTGGTGGTGCTTCTTATTCTTCCTCCCCTTTCGAACAGGTTGTATGGCAAGAGTAGAGCGCGGAGAGAATGTCTTGCGCGTTTTTCTCGAAACTCGCGCTCGCCCCTCGCAGATGCAAATCACGAGCGCAGAATGAATTTTTGTTTTATTTCTTGTAATCGTCTTGCATGATTGTTGTTTGAATATCGCGATCTGTTTCTACATTCTCGGATGTTGTTTCGCGCTCATCTGGCTGCATCTGCGGCGGCGGCGGCGGCGACAATGACAAGTCGCTTTGTCCGCGAGGAATGGAGGATGTTGAGGCGGCGCGTAAGGGAGAAAGAGAGAGAAAGTAGATCGAGAGAGTCGAGGGTTTTCAGGTACTACGGGGATGGGAGTAAACATGGGCCTAGGAATGCCTGCCCCGTTACCGCCGCCCAGCGCGGGGACCACGACCATAATGACGACGATGGGGGCTATGACGAGCAACATGACGTCGTCGATCACCACGATGCGACCCGGCATGGGCAGCAGCACGCCGCCGTGCCGTCAACCACCGGCGTACAAAGTCGCGCAACAGATGGCGAGATTGCACAGACTCGGTCGTGCCAATAGCCACGAAGGAGTCACTTATCGTGCCACCGATCATGAAGATGGTACTACACTTAACCAAATCGCTCTCTACACACACATACACACACACACGAACACACACACATACACACATGTTACACTTACGTTTACACACACGTCCATTCGAGTTAGAATGAGGCTTCTTCTTTACTCTCTTGTTGTTTTTCTCAACGTTCACGCACGGCAAAGAGTATTTTATTAATTTTTCCCGGAAAAAGAATACTCCGTCAGAGTTTTTGCCTCATCGGAGTACATTTCCGCGGATATAATTTTGCGCAGCGGCTTTTTCTCCATGAATTTTTAACATTTTGTTTCTTGTTTGTTTTTCGTTTCACAAAACACCGTGCGCGCTCCCCGAGAGTGGCTGCTATTTTTGACGCATTTCTAATTTCTGTGCGCACCATTTTCGGCAATTTTTTTTTTTTTTTTTAAATTCATCATCTGTTTCTCTTTTATGACATGGTGCTAGTTTTTTAGAAAAATTTCACGAGTCACATACTGTTTTTTCAAACTAGTTTTTCTTTCTTATCATCTGAGAAAGATCTCGACGACGACAACAACAACACAAGCTTGACAGAACATAAATTTTCAACACAGCTTTGGACATATTTTCACGGACACGGATATTGCGATAACGATCGATCGACGATAATAACGGGTGGTTGTTGTGTTTATACATTGTAAATAATAAATGTCGTTTAACGCTTGTGAAACAACAAACTGTCTGTACAACGTGTGTTGAAAGCTGTTGTGTTTAATTAATGTGATTCGTCGTGTAGTCACAGAGCTCATTGAGCATAGTCATGTAAATCCCGTACCGCACATGTAATCACAATATCTGCTCGCAGTGAGACAACATTTTGTTGGCAATCACATTGCATCACACACTAGCTTGCCTACTTGTCATCGAAATGTTTTTTGCATTAAAATGTTTTTTTGACAATTATATTGCATTATGCGGTTTGTATTAAAACCA